TTATAAAGTGATCAAATAAGTTTTCGAATTTTATATTTTCATTATATACTAGTCTTCATAGATCATTAAAAATGCATTCTTTGTATAGTCTTTTTGAAAATAACTATGTATCGTTATGAATGATTGACTTTCAGTTTTTTTTTTATATTATATTCAAATAAAAAGAAAACAACGAATTCAAAATAATGGGGCTGGTATTCTAATTTTTATTCTAATTTTCAATTCAAATTTGAAATAAATTATCTTAATGTAAATTTAAATTGGTGTATGAAGGCGGCATTATTCCTCTTTGATCATTTTATTTTTTAACTAAGTATATTTTTATAAACGATCATTAATATACATACGATTTCACATATATGTACATAGTATAAAATAGATGGAATTATAATAATATCTGCACACGTCTATTTTAAAAATGTATGCTTACATTTACGATATAGATTGCTATATTGTGATATATGAGATTTAAGTACCTCAAATATTTATTCACGGTAAGTAAGCAATTACGGATTAATTGATTACCTTGAATATTTTAGTTACTGAAATTTTAAATTGAATATTTAAAGTCATAAAAGAAATATAGAGAAAGGAAGAAACTTGAATAACATTAAAATTGAATGTTCGAAAAAAAATTAAATTTTATGTTACGATTTGTTCTCCGTTTTGTCTAATCGTAATTTATTAATAATTTATGCGATTTTTGTTGAGGAAATGTTTAAAATAACATACATATGTAGAGTATATTGAAAAATAAATAGAAATTTATTACAATTGCCTATACTTTTTAAAATACAATGTTTTATTTTATAGCAAAACACATTAATTTTTTTGTTTTTAACACATAATAATTAAATGAATGAATTTATTTTATTCTCCAGATGCATATTACGTATTGGATTTTTAAGATTAAATATGATTTTTAGTTTAACTGATTGAATAGATTATTTTGTAAATATAATAGTAATTTGTAATACTATTTATTTTATAAACACATAACATAATAAGTCACGTCAAATACCCATCTGTAAATAATTTTAACGCAGTTTGTTGTGGAAGTAAAATACAATTAAATAAATACACCTGTATATTGTTGAACAAAAGAAGACTGACACAATAATAAAAGTCTAGGCTATACTAAAAACAAATGTAAGAAAATAATATATTATAATATACTTACGATATTATGTCTGGAGATAACTTTGTATTACTAAAGAAATTATATGCCTAAAATTCATGTAATATTTACAATTTAGAAAAACTTGTTGCTGCTGATTTAATTTCCAAAGACAAATTTAGAATTAAATTATTGCTTGAAGAAAAATATGAAATTAAATTAATCGATTAATTGTTGACGAAATGATAAATACGAATTAGTTTACAGAAAAAAGGATTTTTTGATTGTTCTTAATCTGCCGTATAATGAAATAATTTTATACAAATAAATGCCCAAAAGTGTGATACTATGAAAGTTAAATGAGCTTGTATAAGTTGAGCTTTTATAATATAAAGTAAAACTAAATTTATATTTGAGTACCTTTGCGATTAATTAAGAGTTGGAAGTTACTAGATTAAATTTATCAAAAATTTTGATAAATTTGATTTTGATTTGATTGATAGAGCGTCCGTCTAGAAAGCGGTAGGTCACTGGTTCCAGTCCAGTTCGAGGAGAAAAATTTTTTAATTAATTTTTCTGCCTTTAATTCGTTCCTTTGATTACGTCATCCATCTGTTCTGCAGTTGTAATGAAGGAATTTCCATTAAAGTTAAAACATTGATTGATTTGATTTTTTTTCACACAGAAAACATTGAAAATTATTTAAGAATTAAAAATTATGAAAATTGAAATTTTGTACATTTTTAGAAATTTTTGTAATATCAATGGCATTAATCTCCTTTGAAGCGCAGGTAAATTTAAATTTATATAAATAAATAAACTTATAAAATTTTTATTGAAATAATTGAAAACAAATATCCGCAATTGAAACTCCATTTTGAATTTTTTTCAATTGCTGCAGAATAATGCGCTCCTATAAGTCATAAATACATTCAATATATACATATATACATTTTTATTTTTAATTAATTAATAACATTTTTATTTTTTCTTTATTAAAAAAAAAAAGTATGAATGAAAATTTTTTAAAATAATATGACATTCATCAAACAAAAAAATTATAAAAAAATCAAAATAAATCAAACAGGAACTTGACTATCAACTCGTCACAATTAGATCAAACAAAAGTATGTGCGTATGTACATAAATTTATATTTATATACATACTTAAATCGGTGTATATATAGAAAATGAAACGACGTAGGTCAAGTCAATTTTTAATGTCAATTGAAATTATTATGAATATATTGTACAGATTGCTGCTATTAACGTGGTTCCTTTATAAATTCATTTCGTACATATAATTATGATAAGTTGACAATCATGTATGTTTATATGTATGTATGTAGACATTTTAAATATTTATAATGTCAAAAGCTATTTCTTAACGAATTTATTATAGCCAAAAACAAAAAAAAAATTTTTTTTTTTTGATAAGAATGATTCATTAATCTTTTGATACTGAAATTATTTTTGAATTATTTTAATTAATTTTTTTTTTGTGTTTAAATTGAAAATATTTTGATAATGCAAAAAATAATGGAAAATGTGTGCATGCCATGGAAAAATTTGATGAATATTTTTGAACAATGCGCGGGAGTCTTTTTAAGTTTTGCAATTTAATAATGTAATTTTTTCAGTAGCACTTCTTTGGCAAGTTGTGTTTTTTAAGTATTTAAAGTAACATGTTACAGATGCAAACATTTCCAATACATGCAAAATTCAAAAATCTCAAACAAAAGCAATTTTCCAAATTAATTTTTTGTGCAATTTTTTAAAGAGTTACAATATCTTTAAATCTGTTGAAGTCAATTAGAAAATTTATGGTTAAAAATAATAAAAGGAAATATGTTGAACACAAAAAGTAAAACAAATTTTCTCTAATTTATACTTCTACACTAACTTAATATTGAAACATTTAAAATTGCATGAGTTATTAAAAATAAAAATTATTATTTAAATAATTAAACTTGAGTCAATTCATTTATTTTTTTTTTAAATTTTACACAAAATTTATATTGAAATCAAGTTAATAAAATATAAAAATTAAATAAAATTAATCGCAACACTCATTTGTATCTATACAACATGTTCGATCTACATAAATTTAAATTGAATAATAACGTAGGTACCTATTTTTTCTGTATGGAATTGTTTTACAGTTATAATATACAATGTTTTTAATTTAATAGTGTACATATTTTATTGTGACAACATAAGATAATTGTTTAATATCAAGTAACTATTTAAATGTTATTTTGTCGCCTTAAGGTGTAAATAAATATGTTTTTTTTTTGGCGCTGTTATAATAATGACATGTTACAATTAATTTTATATTATTCAATTAATGTTATACGCATATGTACCTTGTGCACAATAAAAGTATATAAATGCATAAAACATATTAAAACAATTATATAATACATATATATATATTTTTCTTTAGGCAAGTTGCTAATTATTGTTTAATTGCTATAAAAAAAATTATTCGTAAGACAGAAAAAAAAAGCAAAAACAAAAACGTACATGATAGTCTTACTTCCCTATTTTATTTACAAAAATAAATAATATCAGTAATTTTACTTTTATGGCAGTAACATAAATGATGCAAGCTTTAAAACACACAAAAAGATATATAGTTAGAAAGAGAGAGAGAGAGAGAGAGAGAGAGAGAGAGATTGAGAAATTTTAGATTTTTTCAGAGGTTAGTTTGACAGAATTTGTGAAAAATTTTTTATTTCTGACTATACAATCTACTGCCAGTTTATGTCAAATTCGGACAAATAAATTAATCGAAATTTAAATGGCACCTACTATATTATGATATATTATGATTATTCTGATCGTAGTTAATACTTGGGTTGTATAAATAGAAGGAAATTGATTTGCAATCAAAGAATTATTCGCAAAAATTTATCAAAATGTTTAACATTTAATTTTCGAAAAAGCCATCCGCTTCAAAGATTTATGCTATGTTGTGTTTTTTTGTCAAAACGAATTTTTTTGTATTACAAATATTATTACGTATTTCTGCAAGTTATAAGTTAAAAATGAAATATATTATTTCCTATTTGGGACATTAATTTTTATTCAAAGTTACTTCTGCAGTTAACTAAGAATAATTATGAGTGTTAAGTCAGAAACTTATGTACTTTTATAAACTTATGTTCACATGATTTATTGTTTTCTAAATCTATATGTATATTTCAAGAACATAACAAAAAAATATAACATTAAAGAACTGAAAAAATTAATTTGTTATTCAACACTGTGCTACACAAGTAATTACTCTAATTATTATAATTTTCATTTATTTTATATATGTATATAGTCTGATCAAACCCGATATAAAGCTTGTATTACATTGTTATGAATCACATTAACGAATAAAGCACTCCCTTTTTATGCTGTTACAATTTTAAAAGGTCATCAATATTAAATGTTCTTGTTTAATTAAAATCTATACAACAAATAAAATATGTAAAATGAAAAACTTGTAGTTATAACTTGTAGGTTGGTATAGAAATGCATTAAAATTTTTTTAATATTACGGTTAATATAAAATTCATAATATTTTATTAATTCAAGTTGAATAAATACAGGGAAAACCGATTACATGTGTGCAATTATAGAAAAGTACATAAAATTTTATAAATCTTATTAAAAAATTAAAATGAATATAAGAGTGGCTACCATTTATCGACAAAATCAAATGAAATAATTTTTTTTTATTATACTATTTTTAAATTTTCACATCAGTACATTATTCTCGTATAATATTTTGACAGGAAAACGACAGAAAAAAAGAATGATGCCACTAAAGCTTTAAAATTTAAAAGAAAGCTTTAAAATTTAACTAACTATTCTTTTACTTTTATTTCAGATTTCTTAATGAAAGTAAATTATTGAGAAATTCTTACTGATGGCGAACTAAAATATCAAATCGGGTAAGTGACACTAAAACTCCTTTACAAATTAATTAAAATTTTTATTTGCAACAACTTTTCCAAGTAACGCAGTAAATATGTGATAACAAATTTTTTCGGCAGTCATACAAATACCAAACAAAAACCTCTACATACGTTTAATTAACCCAAATAACCTTCAATCTTTTCAAAAAACGCTATTGGAATTGCTTTTAAATTGAGCTAGTTTGAACTATTGAGCGGATTTACTTTTTATATTGAAAATTTGCTATTTACTCATTTCTATGTATGGATATGGTCTGCAAATGTGTACTTAATCGTATTACATAATTAAAATGTAATCGCGTAATCTTCAAGATGAAACCGACTTTCCTTAGAAGTTGAAATTTAAATCATATTCCTATTTGCGCTTTTCTATTATTTTAATTTTCATTTTCCTTATAAAAAATGCGAACATTTCTGATTTTATATATTTAGAATTTATGCAATGTAAAATTTATGTAATTTTATAAAGAAATTTAATTAGTAGAGTACGTAACGTTCCAAATTGTAATAAAAGCATTAATTTTGTATAAACGAATAAGCGTTAAAATATTTCTATAAAATCGTCCTATGGGTGCATGAAAAATGTGTGTACGTACATATTGTGATTAATATCGATTGTATGTGTATGATTTTACGAATGTAGTTATGTAAAAAATAATAAAGGGTGTTTTATTTAGACTTTTGTTTTTAAAATCAAAGAAAAATACCGAAATTTTATATAAAAATTCATTCAGTTTTCATTATTCGACTAGAAGGTCCGGTCCATTTTTGTTTTTCCTCATTATGTTGTCGGAGTACTAACAATGCAATGGTAGATTTTTATATCTATATCCGATATAAAAAAGAAATTACTAGTTCGCGCAAAGAAAATAATCGTGATGCGTTAAATCGTATGATCTAGGCGGAAAAACATCGAAAGTTTTCAGATAAATAGTTTAACAATTTGGTTGTTCTGTTCGGGCGCCAGTCTCGCTCTGCTGACAAGTAAGTCAAATTGGATCGAATTGACATTAATAACTGTAACGAACCATGCCTTAAGTGTGAAAAATAGAAACATAAAAAACTGAACAGTAAAAAATCACTTTTTATTATTCTTTTTTCAAAGAGTAAAGAGATGAGTAAAGATACAAAAAAACCCATTTATGTATGTACATATATACTCGTATAAATGTTCATAATGTGGATATTAAATTTATTGACAAGGTGACATTATTATTATAAAAGTTTTTCTTTTTTTCACTCGCATATTTTTAATCCTTTTAAGAATTTTTTTATAGCATTTGTGTTTTTTTTTTGTTTGTTTGTTAAAATCCAATTAATACAGTTTAATTAATTTTAAATTAATACAAAAGCAAAAATATACATACTCACGAACATATATTCGTATCTTTCAATTTATTTATCGTTATATACGGAGTAAAAAATAAAACAAAAACTCACAATTTCTCAATAAATCTCGGCAATGAAAATTAAATATTAAAATGAAATTTCACAATAAAAAATTTTTTAAATTCCAGACGATCAAAATATTAAAAAACAAAATAATAATAAAGAAAATAAATCGAGTTTTTATTCCCCTTCTTTCTTTCTCTTTCTATTTCCCTCTATCACATCTGTTAAGGCATAACGTAAAATTAACTTAATAAAAGAGTCACTGCCGTGCCGAGTGTTGTGTTGATTTGATATCAATGACGATGTGATAGAGATCAAGGTCGGCTAGAAAAATATCACGAAAAAATAAAATAAGAAAATCAAAACTACAAAAAATAATATTATTAGCAACAACAACACAAACTAAATATTTCAATGCTATGATAACATTATTATGTACCCCATATAATTTTTCTATGTTGAAAGTTTTTGTACACATATTTGTTTATGTTACTCCAAAAATAGTATTTTCAAACCACTTACATAAATATATATGTATACGTATGTATGTACGTTTTACATATGTTTATTAGACGAACAAAATAGTCTTATAATGGTAGTGGAGAAATGTTTTATGTTACACGTACTGTTGTGCGGTGACTTTATAAAGATATCATGGTTATTGAGAAAAATATTAAATATGAAAAAATGTAAACAAAGATCTTTTTCACATACATATACTTGCATATGTACGTAATGGATATACAATGTATTTTATTAAAGATGAACCGTAAGTTTAATTGTTCCTATATTAGCACCTACTAACAAAATAATTTTAATAAAACTTTTCCTCAGACAAAGAAGAATATAAGGAAAATTTTCTCTCATATTGATTTTTATTCCTTCACTCATGGGTATTTTTACCAAAATAGGTACATCCGAAAGCATATTTTTTTTTACATGGTTTTGAAGATATTCACACGTGATGGTCATTAAATTTGGAAACGAATGATAATTAAATTTTATAAGCAATGCTCTTCGATTGATTAAAACGAAGGGCACCAATATGAGAATAAATTAAAAAAATTCAAATCAAAATAGTTAACTTGAATATATTTATTAAAAGAATAAAATATCACAAATAATATAAGCATACATTTAACCAGTTTTTTTCCAGAAACTTATCAGATGGCCGTATATTAAAAATGCTCCATAATCTAAAAGTAATGGACAAAAATTAAAATTGATTTCTTCAGTTTACATTCCCTAGAAACTCAATTAAACCAAATTGGGCCTTACATTTGGCCTTAAAAATTTCAGATTTAATTGATATTCGACCCAACAAATTACAGTAGCCATTGAATATCTGCAATAAAAATTTGTTTGTGGTGAGAACATTTTGAAAAATTACCCGTATCCCAACTTAGAAATTTATTTCAACGTATAGCAAAAAAATTTTCAAAATAAAACAGAGCTTGCGCCAATTTTGTTCACTACTTTTCGTTGGAAATTTACAAAAATCCATCTTGTACCAATAATTTTCCAAAAAAATTTAATTTCAAAGCATACTATTTGAAATTTAAATTGAGAAATCCATACGCATAGAAAAAGAAAATTTTTCGAATAATTACATTCTTATTTATATTTTATGTACTTCAATAATTTCTCTACTGTATATTCAGTTTTAAGATATTCTTGATGATTTCAAAAAACATTTCCTTGTGCTTAATTGGATATCAAAAAATTTAATTTGACCTATTTTTTAATAAAAATAAATGTTTTGTTTTTGTAATATTTTTTTATTATTTTGTTATATTTTTTATCATATTAATGGAAACTTGTTTTAATTGGTTTTTTTATGTATAACGAAAATTGTGATTTTTGATTGATCCTATTATTATTTTTGATAGTTGTAAGCAATAACACGTTTTCTTTCTGTGATTTATTACTGATTTCTTAATTAGATTTCATTTTGTTTTCCTACAATGTATTGTTGATATGATTTATGTATATTTTTTATATTATAAATTCAAATAATTACTGTATAAATTAAAAATTATATTCTAATATATTCAAATTATTTATAATTTAAATTTCAAAATTAAATTTCAAATTCAATTTTAAATTAATTTGAGAGATAAAAAAAAATTGCTTCAGTATTTAATATGAGGAATAAATACAAATTTGTTACAGTAACTTTTAAAAATGTTGAAACGGGTTTTCTCCTCTTTGATACTATAAAAGTCTTAGTTTTATATTAAATTGATTTATCAATTCTGATGATGATAGGTTTTACGGCAGCTGTATTAGTTACCGACCTCGGCATTATGAAATCCCCATCTATATTTTGGAAAATGCTTTTATTAATTTCATTCTGTCTGTGTGAAAACTTCTAACAACACTGTGCGTCGTTATGCACAAATCTTGTACATTTTATATATAAATCTTAGTGGAATCATTTCTTCTCCTTACCCTATTCCAATTCACAGTTCTTCAAAGTCATAAAAATGTGTAATTTTACAACCTTCATACGTGTTCAGAAAAATTACAATTTGCAAAATCTGTAAATGCAGAATAATCAGAAATAATTTCCTCTACATTACGAAATATATATTAACAAATGTCACGCTGTTGTATTGAACTTATACTAGATAACCCGTTATCACTACTTTTTTCTAATTGTTAAGAAATACTATTCCAGCATGACTAAGCAAAGTAATTTTTCTCCTACACAGCAACTATTCGGTTCCCTCTTTCTTTTAAGTTTTGACGTAATAAATTCTTATAAAACACATTTTTAAGTATTTGGTGTAAAAATTTTGTTCTAAAGAATTACTTTCTCACAGCATTTAATTTGTGATCGAACATGAGATTAAAAGCTGTACTTTATAGAGATTTCTCATAATATTTAGCAAAAGTTTACCAAATTTAATTGGTTTTCTTCAAACTCATAGTTACTAAATTTATTATATGCTTACAATATCGATATTCTCATTTATTGTTAACCACTCTGATTAGTATTGAAAATGATTAATTAATTTCATTTGAAAAGCAAAAAATTAATAAATTTTAACGCAAAAAAAAAAAAATAAAAATAATGTAAGATACTCTAAAAGAACAAAAGTTTTCTTTTTTCATAATGTTTGCATAAATAAATCTTTAAGATCTGATTTGTAAATAAAGTTTTTATTGTGCCCTTGTTCGCACTTGCTTTTAATAAATATTAATATTTACAAAACGATTGGAGGGTTGATAATAGAAAATTGGAAAGAAAATTTGCTATAATTAGCGTTATAAAAAGTACATATCTAAAGACAGACGATAAATAAGGAGGTAATTAACGCAATAAAAGAAGAAAAAATTTGTTGTTTTCCTTTTTCACTTTGCTTTTAATACTAAATATGAACATAAAGAGCAAAAAATAAAAATCAATTTTTGTAATTATTATTAATAGTAAAGTAAACAAAAATTATTTTGTAAATATAACCAAAAATAACAGAAATTTGTGTACATTTAGATTAAGTATAATTTATTTTTGAATTCATACAGACACAAAACCAATTATACAACTATATTTGTGTACATACTTGCCATACTAAAGAATA